GGCAGAGAGTGTTGGAGGAGGTCAAGTCTAATTCTTCATAGAGAAGTGGGGTCCATCAGAGATACACTAGTATGGGTATGCTAGGCTATGTATAATAACATAAAGGCTCAAAATCTCGGTGGCTTAACACAGTAAAGATACCGTTCTTGCTTCAGTAAAGTCCAGTGCAGATCTTTTTGGTAGGGTGACTCCTGGCCAGCTTTCCTCTGAGCAGTGAGATCAGAGATTTAGCCTTCGTTCATTTGTAAGCTCTACCATCTCAGAGCCTTTTACTTCCAGCCTTACAGTTGGAGGAAAAAGGATGTGGAAGATACTGCTGATATTTTATAGGGAAATGTGGAAGTGGCATGCATTTCTTCTACCCTTTTTGCATTGGCTGAATTCAGTCACATGACCCATACCTAGTTGCAAGGTGACCTGGAAAATGTAGTCTGTGTGAACACAAGCCCTATATCTGCAGAAGAGGTGTTGAACTCTTCCAGTCCCTATACCAAGAACATAAAGAAAGGAGGCTTAAATTCAAGTATTATCTTTACTATTGATCTACTGAATAACCACACGTCCCATTTAAAGCCTCAATTTTCTCATTTGTCAGATGGTTATGTAAACTCATTCCTCATAGCTGCCCAGTGGCCAGATGTAAGAGAAGTTGAGTGCTAGTTGGGGGAAATCATGGGAAGAGCTGTCCCCATTGGTGGTCTTCCCATGCCTAACAACCCTCTGGACTCCACTTTCCTTCTGCAGCCAGGAAAACCCAGCTCTTCTGGTTGTTGAGGAGGCACCCCCCCTGAAGCCTCAAATGCCCATGGCATTTCTGAACACTGGTATTGCTGGGGAAAGGTTTGCGGGAATGAATAAAAAGTTGAAAGCTAGATACTAGAATCTACCAGAGGACTCTGGCAAGGACCCTGAAGACTTAGTGGAGGCCCCAGAGATCCAGGCATTAATCCAAGAAGATGCTGGAGCTGTGGCCAGCAGATGGGGCTGGTGTGAGTTGGGCTAGCTGGGGGTCCTGTTTCTCACCTCTCCCCATTTTGTGCACTCAGCTAATACACCAGTAAGAAGACTCTTTCCTTTCTTTCATAAGCAGCCCAGCAGGACTACTACTCTCTCCTTCAGATTATTCTATTCCTTGATGACGTATTACATAGGGAGAAACACAAACACTTCTAAGAAAACCTTGGCACACTGAACATAATTTGTACATCCATTCTTTCCTTTCATTCTTGCTAACTTTTGTCTTAATAGACATCATCCCGATGTTCTTTACTCCTATGTTGCGGGCAGGAAAGTGCCTAGCTAATAAAGCCACATTTCCTAACCTTCCTTGCAGATGGAATGGCTAATGAGAAAGTGGAAGTGACTGGGTGGCGTTTTGAGAAAGCTGGTGAAAGGGGTTAACTTAGCTAGCAAGCACCCCTCTGCCCATTTCCCCTATTATTTATTTGTCCCAGGGCTGTGAACTTGATGGGTGGAGCTCTAACAGTCATCTTTCATCCATGAGGTGATCTCAAGGATTGAAGTCATGTGCTAAGAATGCCAGAAGCAGAAGACAGAAGGATTCTAGCTTCTGAGATCCCATATCAGTCTGGCCTGCCTGAAGATGGTTTATCATGTAGGAAAAAAAGAAAGCCCAGGCCTTATATAGGCCATTATTATTTTGGATTTCTCTCACTAGCGGCAAGAAAAATTCCTCATTGGCATAATCCCAAAACCCTTTCATAATCAGTTTATCTCCACTAAATAGTCCCCAAGTCATTCAATCATTTATTCATTAATTCACTCACACTCTGTAATGATAATTATTCCTTATTCTAGAGTCAGATGAGCTTATGTGGGTAAAAAAAGGTGTGGTAAATACCAAAGCATGAAATGCATATTAGATTGTGTTATTATTATTTTTTCTAATAGTATGATTTGTTATTACTCAAGAGTCACAATTAGGAACTTTTTAGTACATAATATGCAATTTGCTGGAGGGAAACTCTGTTAGGTGGTGTGAATTATTGAAATCTGGCACTATTTGATGTTGTAAATAAAAGAAGTATGGGGTGACCCAGTGCAAGTGCTTCTCAGACTTGATATGCACAGAGAGAAACTTGGGGATCTTATTAAAATGCAGCCTCAGAGGGTCAGGAGTAGGGCTGGACATTCTGCATTTCTAACAAATGCCTAGATGAGGCTGCTTGTCATGGACCTTTGAATAGCAGGGACCTAGGAGATCTTTCCAGGTGCTGGGGAAAGAAATGATGAGAGAGGCAAGCAAATGGTAAGGTGAGGGCAGAAAGGAGAAAATTTCTGAAAATGGGAAACAAATTATTTAGAGGCTCTAACTCCAAGCAGGTTAGAAACTTAATTAATAAGAGCTAGAAACTATGCATCTATTGTTTTACATAATTCTTGCAACCTTATATAAGAGGAATTCTAATCCTTATTTTACACTTGGGAAAGTAAGTGGGAGCTCAGAGAAGTTAAGGGATATACCCAAAGTCACCAGGCAGGTCAGTGGCAGGGATAGGAGTAGGACCCAGGCTTTTCAGAGGCCAGAGCTGGCATTTCTTTCTAGAAACAGATATTTATTTCTAAAATTCCAGGGAGAAGCTCACTTCTTTTGCTGAATTCATCTTTCTCACCCAGGAAATGCTGGTCAGGGGAGGAAGACAAGGCCACCCTAGGGATCTAGGCCCATGTGTATTTGAACCTGTTTGGCTTGGCTCTTACCTATTTTAAAGGCTCTGTGGCTGCTACACTTTGTTTCAAACACAGAGGGCCCAGGAGTGGGAAGTGAGAAGGATAGTAGCTGGATGTTTATAAGATTTATTCCAATTTCCTCTTTGTAAGTCCAGTCTCCTTTCTGAAGTTCGCTCTATTCCAGAGCAGCAGGAGCACATCCTGGGAGGTAGGAGCTGAAGGGTGAGAACAAACCCTGCTCTGGCTCTGACTGAGACCCTTGCTTTCTCTTGGGAAGCCCGAGGCCTTTGAGGCACTACTAAAACCTGACGATTGCCCAGCAACTGGCAAAACTGGTAAGTGCCAGGCTCCAGAGAGGACCCGCATTTCCTCCCAAGATAGGAGATAAATGGGCACTTTGTGTAGCGACAGAGGGTCAGCCACTAGGGCGGGTCCTCTGCCATAGACTCCCCTGCTGAAGCTGCAGTGCAAATCTGAGCCACGTTCTCTAGTTTCCCATATGTGACTAGCCTTTGTCAGTTTCATCACTGTGGATCATGGGGGAGGGTTCCCTGCACATTAAATCTTTGATTGGGGAAGGTGGTTTTATCCTTTGAAAGGATGATATTAAAGAAAGAGAGCACTAAGTGACTAATGTGTTCAGGGGATGATGCACAGGAAGGGCCCAGGTGACAGGAAAGGGATAATTCGGGATCGCAGAGCAGGGTTGAGGAGGTGCTGGGGGGGATCATGGAGGCACATCAAGAACGCCTGTCTAAGGCCTGATTGCAGAAAAGTGTGAAAGAGCTTACTAGTGAGAAGAGAAACCAGGACACATGGTGTGGTTCCTGTCCTCTCCAGACAAGCTGTGGTCTGCTTTGACACTAGTTCCCATGTGTGCCGAGGCTACTGGATGCAGTGGTTTCAGGTCCGGGATCCAGCTGCAGCAGCAACACCAGAGGTGGGAGGGAGGGGAACAGAGGGCAGCCTTCTCACTGACGGGTGCCCAGAGACACCCTATGTGGAGTGTCCGAAGGTGAAGGACTTAACAGCATCTACTCTGGCTGAGTCCAAATAATCCTCCAGCTTTCCTATTCCAGGCTCCCACCCTTCCCCCTCACTTCTGATACAGGCAGTGAAGCCCAAGGCCACCAGGTTGGCTGTAACACTGAATGGTGTTGGATATCCACGATCACCCTTATTATGTCTGGTCTGGTCCTAGAAGCGAAGGAAAGCCAGGAAAACCTCCCTGGAGCCTATGACCTCCACTGGCCACCCTAATCTTTTGGAACATGCTACTCCAAATGGTTGACAGTACTTGCTCCGCTACTTTCCTGATTCCCATTCTCCCAGCATTCTGCAATCTAGCTTCTGCCCCACTCCACCCCTACTGAAACTGCTTGTACCAATGGCATCAACACTGTGGAGCCAAATTCAGGAGCCACTTCTCAGTTCTTACTTTTTCATTGAGCCATTTGTCTCTTAATTAAAATTCTTTCTTCTCAGAATTCTCAACCCTAGGGCTTCTTAACCAGGATCACTCTAATTGTCTTAAGGAGGAAACAATATGCAGTCCCTGAAATTGTTATATAAATGTTGTACAAATGTACATTTCTCTAGGGAGAATGGTCCAGGGCATTCATTCGATTCTTACAGGGATCAATGATCTGCCAAAATGTTAAGAACGAGTGCCTTGAGATCTGTATTGGCTAGGATTATGTTCTGCTACTAATGATCCAAGATAACAATGGTTGATTTATCTTTCAAATATACAGAGGTAAGTCATCAGAGCAGGAATGGTGGCTCCGACGTATGAGGTCCTCAGGGACCCAGGCTCTTTTGAGCTGTGCTCTGCTAACCCCAGGGTGTAGCCTTCAACCTCATAGTCCAAGATGGTGGCATCTCATGCTCCAAGCAGCATGTTGGAGGGAAGGACAGACAGTGGGAAGGACATGCTTCTGCTGTTTTTCAAGGATTCCCAAGAGCTTCTGTGTGACATTTCCAATTTTATATTATTGGTCCAAACTTAGTCACATGGTCACATGTATCTGCAGAGAAGCTGGGAAACATCTTTATTCTTGGCAGTTCTTTACCCAGCTAAAGATTCTATGACCATGGATAAAGGCGAGAATAGATATGGGGGAAGGGCTATCAGCACCTGTCAGGGATTTCATGACACCAACAATGGTGGATATGTGGGCTGGTTCACATAGCATCCCTGTCTGCTTCCATCTAGTATATACATTATAACTGGGAAACCACACTTTCTAGACTCACTTGTAGCTGACATTCCAATTGTGATTTAGGAATTGCCAATTAAATGAACTTACATAGGTTTGAACCTGGAACCAAGAAAGGCAGCAGGTGAGGCATCAGTTTTGCTGGTGCGGGTCATGGCAGACTGGTTTCCTGGTCACACCAGCTTCCTGGCTCAGCAGCTTCCTGAAGCAGTGGTGGTGACTTCTTTCCTGGTCACGGTAGCAGAGGCATGGTGATTCTGAGGGCATACAGTTATCTCTTAAAGCCCCATCAGTCTCCTCCTCCAGCCCTTCCAGCATGTTATAAGCCAGAGCTTCTCAAACTCTAATATTCATAAATATAGCCTGTGGATCCAGCTAAAGGGTAGATTCTAATTCAGTAGCTCTGGAGTGAGATCTCAGATTCTATGTTTCTAACAAGCTTCTGGGTAATGTCTGATGGTTAGGTTGGATTTTTGAGTAGCTCCAGGTGTCTCCAGGTGTCTTCAGCTCACCTATACCTGGTCATAAATTCCTTTGTGCTTTCACTACCTAATGATGGTTTCTGATTCTTTTAATTCTGTGACTCTTCTTCCTTGAAGGGACTCTTAAGGATCTTCTTCCTGTGTTGTCCCTTAATACTGGTGTGCCACAGAACTCAGGCTTGGGATCATTGTACAAATACTTCCTGGATGATCTCTTCAATTTTCTGGATTTCAATCATTACCTATGTTTCTCAAACTCCCATGTCCAATCTGTATTCTTTCTGGAGCTCCAGATTCCAGTATCCGCAGCTGACCAGAAACTACAGATGAGCAAGGCATGAAAGAAAGCTTAGCTTCTGTATTAAAATAAGTTTGGGTTAAATAAAATGAAATTTATTTCCATGCTGAGGTACTTCTACAACTGTTAATGTGCTAATGCACTGCAAATTTCCAAGAGCAGGCATGTAATACCCAGTGTTTCTTACATTGGATACAAGCTGTTTTCTCAGTTTTTCTCAACACTGCCTGAGTCCTTGGAACCCCTGGCCCTATACAGTACAAGTGAGCAGGTATTTGGTAAGAAGCAATTCTTTGGAAACAAAACAAATACAATTGTTAATGGTTATAGCAGACTATAAACCAGCTTCTGAATGTGGAGGGCAGCCAGTTGAGAAGATTTCCAGATACTGGGCTGGAAGCATCTTTCACATTTTTAATATTTCTGATGATATCATTGGGTATTCAATGAACTTTCTGAGTGGCCCACACAGCAACAGACATGAAGGTTGTGCAAAAAACCTTCCTATGTCCTTCATATCTAAATCTGATAAAAACTTTAAGTTCATGTCAAATGGTCCAGCTTCAGCTTCCAGGACTCTGGGAAAAGGGAATTTTTATTCTAACTGATTTCAAGCCAGAAGGCTAAAAGAAAATTAGTAGTAGTAGTTTGGAAAGTTGTAGCCAGATATTGGAGAAAACTAGAAGAATTCAGGATACAGTCCAGTTTTCAGGTAGATAGCAAACCTCAAAAACAGCAAACAGGACTAGAGTCATATTTACAAGGGTGTTATAGTTTTCTATGAAACATAATTTTCCTCTCTACAGTCACCCACACTTCTAGTAAAAATTGACAGAGTAAGACTAATTTGTTTGCAAAATAATCTCATTAAACTTAGTCTGATTATTTATGTAAGTGTAGCAAGAATAGCAAATGACCATACGCTCACACAGTTGGAAGTAGTGGAGTCAAGTGTCCAACCCAAGTCTCCAATCTCCCCAGCCTGGGGATCTCTGAGTCCTTTGAGAGCCCCAGTGGCAGGTAGGGGGTCTAAAGTTCAAGTGACTGAAGGGAGCTGAGGGCTGAAGTGGGAAGGGAAAAAACTGGCAAGGTGGACAGAGGGATGGAGGAGGCAGGAGTTTGAAGAAGGACATACGAAAGGATCCAAGGGAACTGAACGGGAAATCAAAGCTGGCAAAAGGAGGAAGGAGGAGCAGAAGCCATGGGAAGGAAGAGTTCTAGAGGAGCCAGTTTGGAGAAATCTTGTTTCCCAAAGAAACCAATGAAGTTCCAAATTATCCTCAGGAAATCATGCTGACAAGAAGGAAGTGGACAGAGTTGGCAGAGCATGTAGTCAGCAGGGGTTCAAGAAAAGGGTTTCCAGTTGACTGAGAAGTCCCAGTGTGAGAAACAGGATCAAATAAAGAGAGCCTTAAAAAAAAATTTCCTATCAGGCTCTGAATATCAACTTTTAATTCAACCAACCTCTGACCTTACAGCTGTTTTTAAAAAATATTTTCAGTACCTTATTAGGACAAACAGCAAATATTTCTGGCAGCACTGAACTTATTATTCCTTCTTCTTTTAAGCCAAAAGTATATCTATCAAGTGACTCAAAGCTAAAGCAAGCCTTTTATAACTTAATGGACACAAGAGGTGTTCCTTAGGATGCAAAAGATGCAATCCTCCCCAGAGCCAGAGCTACTCACAAAGATAGACAAAAGAAAGACTTAGACAACTGTCCTGGCAACAGTTAATGGGAGACTAGCTGCAAACCCACATTCCTATCTGGCCAAATTCTTGGGGTCCCCAGTCTGATGGTTGGGCCACTTGCACACATAAGAAGTAACAACTTGTGCGCCAAGCTAAGGTCTCAGGACACAAAATAAGACTAACAGAAAAGCAATAGATGTCCCTGGGAGGGAAAGGGTAGATAACCAAAGGATACCCCCAAAACCAAATTCATAAGAGTCACAGTTCAAAGAATTAATTCTTACAAATAGTTTTCTCCTACTAATTTAAATTTAGGAAGGAAGGAACAACATGAAATTTACCTTCCTCTCTTGACTGGGCACTACATACAGAGACCCAGGAGAGCTGACTGATAAGAATTCTTATCCTTCTACTAGTTTTCCCAGGAGCCCATTTGAGTAGGGTATCTCAGTCATCCCATCCTCATCACCAGAAACTGTAGGAAAGGAAAAGTATTTTTCTCCATACTCTTCTGAGGTTTTGGCTGATACCCTTGTAATAAAAGACAGATTAACAACAGAAAAGCAAATGGTTTATTAACATGTGCACCTCATGCACACATGGGAGAGATGGAGGGAAAAATGAAGAATTCCCCAAAATGACTTAGAATTAAAGGTAAAATACCATCTTAATAGGGAAAGACCTTAGAGGAAAGTTAAATGACTTTTAGAAAGAATGAACGGGCCCTTTGAACGACAGGAGATATGATAGTCTGTGACGAAGTTTGTGTGAGTGTGGGGTGGACTTCTAGTCTCCTCTCTTGTGATAACATTCAATCTTCCCTGGTTGAAAACATCTTCCCTGATGAAACTTCTGGAAGGGGATTTATGACAACTGAATTCCTTTTGGAGGATCTGTCTCAGGCAGACAAAAGGAGTTCAGAGGAAGCTTCTCTCACATTTGCTGTTTTTCAAGTGCTTACAGCTCAAAATAATCAATATACCCAAGCAGCTTATTTTGGGGTGGCATGTCCTGACTCCTGCAGTCATATTTTGAGGTGGTATATTCTGCTACCCTTCAGCCTTCACCTTAAGTAAAGAGGAAGTATTCTGAGATGGTGAGAAATGCGTGTTTGTTCTGCCCTGGGTTAAAGTGTCTGGAAACTACATTTTAATCAACTCCAGAAGCACCAAAGATTTTTAGATAAAGCGTTCAAGCAGTACTGCCACACAGTCCAGCATGCCTGGCTCTGAAAGAGGCACTCACTCTCAGGACTGGCACTTACAGGAACCTAAGAGTGATTACCTCCTGAAATTGTGGGTCCTAGTCACCCTAATGTACCTGGTCCTGGCCCTGCCTGGACTTAAGCTGGAAGTCCCACTGACCTGTTGAAAATCACACCTGATGTAAAATAAAGTTCTGTTTAGGGGAGTGTATTGGTTTTCTTGGGTAGCCATAGCAATGTATCACAAACTGGGTGATTTAAAACATCAGGAACTTACTCTCTTGGAGTTCTGGAGGCTAGGAGTCTGAAATCAAGGTGTAGGCAGGACTGGTTCCATTCCTGGACTCGGAGGGAGATCTACTCCGTGACTCACTCCTGGTTCCCCCCACCCATGACAACCGGCCATCCTGGCATTCCTTCCCTTGCAGTCGCACCACTCCGTTCTCTGCCGCTGTCCTCACATGGCCTTCTCCCTTCGTCTTTCTGTCTTCACACGACTGACTTCTTATAAGGACACTAAGCATATTAGGTTGGGGACCAATCCCACTCCATTACAACCTCATCTTAATTAATTACCTCTGCAATGTGCTTATTTCAAATAATGTTATATTCTTAAGTACTTGGGGTTAAGGCCTCAACTTATTTTGAGAGCAGAGGGCAGAACACAATTCAACCCATCACAGAATGAAAAACGGAATTTTATTTTACATCAATTTTGAGAGCTGCTTTGCTCTAATTACCCTGATTTTTATTTAGAGCAGGGGTCTCAGGCTGGTGACTCAAGGCCAAATTTGGCTCCCAGGCATGTTTGTTAGGTCAGGGTCTCCACCATTCCCTAATTTCTTACACTGGCTAATTCATAAGTTTGCATAACCTGAGTGGCCCTTGAAGGTATCTGCATAAATTACCCTTGGTCTTCATTATGTTTTTGCCAACTTAGCCTCAGAACTACCCTGGGAGGCAAAATAAGTGTGTTCCCATTTCACCAACCAGTATACGGAGGCTCTGAAAGTAAAGATGGGTCTGCCTCACACAGTTGGTTGTAGTGGAGCCCAGTATGCAAGCGGTGTTCAGCCTTCCTGACCTGGGCTTGTGCACCGATCAGGCCCACATCTCCATGTCCCTAAACACTGCAGGGTTGCAGTGGGCTCTCACGGTCTCCTTCCTTACTATTTGCTCAGCTAGATCATCAGAGTAGCATATACTACAAGCATTCTTGAGTCTTAAGACTTTTTAAAAGTAGGCACATTCCTGAGGTGAAACTTTTGCAGATGTTTCTCCCAGAGAAGAATATATAATAATGTGCTATCTGAGTTAAGGGCAGTGTGATTTTGAGCTTGGCTGAAATTTCCTTCTCCAGGTATGCAAGGAAAAGGAGTGAATGGGTCAGATGGAACAGCCTTTGCTAGAGGGTCTCCCTCAGGGGTTGAGTCCCCTCCCACCTTAACTAGGTTCAGTCATATATACGATTCAGATGGGCTCGACACCACCTTACTTTTTCAAGGCTGTGTCCTTGGAACAGCTTCCACTGTGGGAATGGGGGGCGGGGGGCAGAGTGTACCTTCCCAGGACAGAGAAGGA